GTTCTCGACCCCGCACAACATGATCTACTCGACCACCATTATGGTTATCGCAAAAACAACAAAAAACGGTAGTAAGCTGGTTGCCGAGTATACGAAGTGAATTGGCTTGTTGTACAACGTCGTTGCCAAGCGACGAAAACCCAACCCCGATGGCCAACACCGGGGGGGGGCGGCTTGTTTCGTTGCCAAGCGACGAAAACCCAACCCCGATGGCCAACACCGGGGGGGGGCGGCTTGTTTCGTTGCCAAGCGACGAAAACCCAACCCCGATGGCCAACACCGGGGGGGGGCGGCTTGTTTCGTTGCCAAGCGACGAAAACCCAACCCCGATGGCCAACACCGGGGGGGGGCGGCTTGTTTCGTTGCCAAGCGACGAAACCCAACCCCGATGGCTGACACCGGGAGGGGGGTGGATGGCAGCCGGGGAGGGCGTGAAGGAGGCGTTGTTTGTGGGTGGCGTTCTGTCGTTCATAGCGCCCGAGACGAGTGGGGCGAAGATCAAGGTCCTTGAGGACAACAAGGGGGCTCTCGCCTTAATCGAGAACCCGTTCAGCTCAGCGAGGAGCAAGCACATCAACGTACGGTTCCATTTCATTCGCGAGCTATTCAAGTCGTGCAAGATCACTGCAGAGCATGTTCCGACTGGAGAGCAGCACGCCGACATGCTGACCAAGGTCCTTGGCAGAGAGAAGTTAGAGTACCACTGGAAGGCTCTGATGAACCTACCGATGTAGTGGTCTCTTGTTCTGTTTGGTTTGTGTGGTGGTTTTAGCACTTGGCATACATGACCATGGTACGTCACGCAGGAAGCGTTGTGCCGGCGCGTCACCCGCGGCTGGAGCCTAGAAACGCCGAGAGGGTTGCTTCGGGTGTGTAATCAGTGTGACCGGTTCAATCTGTCCTGCCTTGGTCTTGTCTTGGAAGTGCGGCCGTTGGAATCCTCCGTGATAGCGACGGTTTTCTATATTAAGGATGATAGACGAGGGATTTTGATCCGGTTGGCCGGGTTTTCCCTTGAGCCTGTTATTGTTGTGAGTCCCTTTGGTAGACCAGGGGTATCCATGCCCCACGTTAGGTTTGCAATTCGCGTGCAAACCGGGGAGGGTGTTCGTGTGTTTGGGTACGGACTCGTTAGATCTACCGGCAATAACAGAGGGCACGCAGATGGAGCATGTATACACGTGGAAATGGTTGCATGTGCGGGGACTCCTCGAACTCCAGAGAGGGCTTCACTTCTCCCTACTCCCCTTGGGTGTCTAATACAAGCGATAAAACGTCTTCCCCTTCCAAGTAAAAGGACATATACGAACAGGTGTCACACTGATGAACGACTCAGCGACCATGGGTAGGGCAAAGCGGGAACGAGGTAGACTAGACTATATTTATTTCGCGCGCAGCGCGAAAAAGAGGCGTTTGGGCTGAAGCCTCCGTTCTTTCTCCTGTTTGTGCCACATTGTTTGACTGTTATCTCGCTCAATTCGAGCTCGATTTCAAAAGCGTTTTTTGCTCTGCATTCCCTGGCACTTTGCGAGGAGGACTGATGCATGTACATCGTAATGTACAAGGGATTGCGGCCGAGGGAGTGCACCAATTAAGAGGAGTTATGGTTGTGCGGAAGGTACCACCTTTCTTTGTTTTTTTCGTGCATGCAACTGTTGTACGTGTACACTACACATCTTTTCAAATCGAGCTCGATTTCAAAGTAGTTTTTTGCTCTACAATGGGCATCTTACGAGAAGGACCGATGGGTGTACATTCATGCTTTTGGTTTCGAGCCATGTGTTCTACATTCAGATTTCTTCGAAAAACACGGCAGCATAACGTCTCTGGAGGTTGGTTCTGCTGCAGAACACCTGCACCACATCCCGATCAAGGCTACAGCATCGACCGTTCGTTGCCGTTTACCCCCAAAACCGGTTTGGGAAACAAAAATTGGAACTTCAGCGTCAGCAGTGTTTGTTTGCCAACATCGAGTGTTCTCTCCCAATACTGCTACGTACACACGTACGCTGCCAGGACTCCTACTGGTGTTATGGTGCCCACAAGGTTTGCACGCCCTCCCGAAAATGACACATGTCCAGCCACCATAGCACGGATGGTACTTCTATCCCATGACCCCCACCTTCGCATTCGGCTTGGACGCCCGCGTCCCCACCAAACCGCCCCTACTCACTACCCCATTCACCGGCTGCTACCGCTGCAACCTATGCACAAGGCGTTTCCGACTTCCAACGGGACACAACAGCAGTTTCTCGGCGAATAGGCGTACGCTGAAATAGCAACCAACAAGCATTCAATGGCAAACGAACCCTAGATCTCCGTTGCCTGCGCGTAAACCAAGCGTTTTCATATTCCGGTCGTCACAATAGTAGACTACTCCGCAGCGATGCAAGATCTGCCAATGATCACCGAGAGGTTCGCATTGAATCGCCGTTACATCGCGCAGAATTCGTTCGTGAGCTCTGGCAACAGTACTTGCCGTGCGGACTTGGGGCTGCTGTTTAACTGGTTGAATTAGCACGCGATAGAGAAGGCACGAAGGGAGAGAGAGCGGAAGGAGAGAGTGCCCCGAACTCACGAGAAAAACGGGGGCTCCGCGCTCTCACCAAACTGTCTCGCCACATACCTCTCCAGGTATATCCTATCTGCGTCCTACGTAACGGCTACTTTTGGCTTGTCTACTCCTACGTACGAACACCCTCCCTGGTTCTTTGCACCATCGAAGAACCACTCGTGCGTCGGAACTATGCCAAAATAGCTGAAACACAACGAAGAAAATAAAACCAAGGGGAAACCCGGCCGCCGGATCAAAACCCCTCGAAGTCCAACGCCTCAATAAAAAACAAACGAACCGTCCATGTCATCTATGATTCCAACGGCTGCACTGCAAGATCAAAACAAAAGCGACTTACACCAAACATGCGGATTACGATTTTCTAAGCAACGCTCTACTCTCCAACCACGAGGTGCGCTCCTGGCAAAATCCTTCTTGAATGATGAAACAAGATCCTTGTGCAGCACCAACACTGATTCGTGTATCACACACATGTACGGGCAACGCCCTCCCTGCCTAACTGCATTCCGCATCAAAACTTCATCAGACAGGTACGTTCTCCCTCTTTTGGGATCAACCAAGCGCGATCCACCACCAAATCAAAACCACAAACATCCTGTTTCTGCTGAAGAACAAATCAAACACAACCGGTTTTCCACGAAACCCATCTTCAGAAACAAAACGTCAAGCCTCCTTCAAACAAGGCCCGCAATCCGCAAACAGTCAAAACCCTCGATCTTCCTTCAACCAAGAATGCATCAACATGCGATTGAACCTTCATGAACTACGCATCAAATATGGTGGCAAATTCTACCAACGTGCACGTTTTCATCCCCCCCCACTTTGCTACCATCACCGACACACCTGTCACCGATATGAGCCCTCGANAGATCAAAACAAAAGCGACTTACACCAAACATGCGGATTACGATTTTCTAAGCAACGCTCTACTCTCCAACCACGAGGTGCGCTCCTGGCAAAATCCTTCTTGAATGATGAAACAAGATCCTTGTGCAGCACCAACATTGATTCGTGTATCACACCCATGTACGGGCAACGCCCTCTCTGCCTAACTGCATTCCGCATCAATACTTCATCAGACAGGTACGTTCCCCCTCTTTTGGGATCAACCAAGCGCGATCCACCACCAAATCAAAACCACAAACATCCTGTTTCTGCTGAAGAACAAATCAAACACAACCGGTTTTCCACGAAACCCATCTTCAGAAACAAAACGTCAAGCCTCCTTCAAACAAGGCCCGCAATCTGCAAACAGTCAAAAACCTCGATCTTCCTTCAACCAAGAATGCATCAACTTGCGATTGAACCTTCATGAACTACGCATCAAATATGGTGGCAAATTCTACCAACGTGCACGTTTTCATCCCCCCCCACTTTGCTACCATCACCGACACACCTGTCACCGATATGAGCCCTCGACACAACAAAAAATGGTCAAGAAGCGCAAAGCGTACATCACGATGTATAACCACAACACGTATACGTGAGAATTACCACTGGATTCGGCAACCAAAAAAACTTACCGTCAAAAGAAACGACAACAAAAAACGAAACAAGATCAAGAACGCTTGAAAAATTCGGATTTCACCGACACCCGTAAACTGGCGTCGAAAAAAGAAAGACACGAGAAAAAATTATCAAGCTTGCCCGTCCACTCCACCAGTTCCAATCGTGAAGATGAAGCGCGCCC